GGCTAGTGATGTTTCAAGTGGTAAGATTATGAGCTTTAATAAGTAAAATTATCCCAGCTACAATGACAGACATTTATAGTATTACAACTAAAACCGTTTTTGACGCCGCCACCGCAGTTTGTCCTTCATGAGCCTTCGTAGACAAGATGGCGGCTGCCTGTAGTGGCGACCCGCGACCATGGAGATATAAACAGCTTTTTATAAGGTAAAAATAATAAAACAAGGTCTTTTATTATGGTCAATAGTGATTATCTCAATTTCGGCTAAAATAATTGACAAAATCCTACACACTGTGCCTTTAAATTAATGAAATGCAATATGTTTTTTGAACAAACGTCACTTGTATGATCTGGACACAGGGAGGCGCTGTTTTACTCGCTGTGATTCAAACCAAATAGAGTTGGAGTGGGGACTTTTTCCCTTCTTCTTTCCACGTTCAGTAATCTGACACCGAAAAAGACTGAGAGGGGAAGGATGGACCCTTCAGTCGGTTGTAAGGACGAAAGGAAGGAGCAGTCATCCAAAGGAGCGAAGGGAGAGCGAGCAGAACGCTGTGCGCAAAAATAATAATAATACTAAAAATAAAAACGTCCCGTGGCAGCGGCAGGGGACATCCAGGGGTCCGCTGCGCGTCTCCAAAACAAACCCCATCAAATGATCTCCAAACGGCAACTTCCAGCTTCCCGAGGCGGATGGGTGACTTTCCACGTTGCTTTGTGAGGAGGAGATGATGAAGAATTTCAGCGGCAGCCCCCTTCACAGCAACCAGCAGACCCCCAACCACAGCAAGGAGCGAGCCAAGTGCAGGAAGTCCAGCTTGTTCTCGGCGCTGCCGCTGCGACTCTCCCTGCGGGCGTATGGGCTCTGCATGGYCGCGCTCTTCTTCTTCTGCTTCGGCTCCCTCTTCTACCAGCTGAACAGCGGAGCTCCTCAGATCCTGCAGGACATCAGGCGCTATCTCGGTAAGCAACCTCACYTCCACGCGCCAGGAAGGAAAGTCACAAGACTTAATCCTTAATAAAAAAAAAAGCAGGAAAGGGTTGTTTAAATCAGGTTAGACAAGAAAGTTTGCCTCACGTTGAAGCTTCTACCTTTCTGCACATTTTATTAGACTTGTCGGAGCATGAGGACTTTACCAATAAAAACGGTTCCATCTTGTTCAGTTGATAACTGACGCATTCCTGCGTTCAGCTGGCGCGCGCTGAAGGCACGCAGCGCGCTTTACGCACGGTTGGCACAGCTGGAACAACTCCTAGATGCTGCTGGCATTGTGAGACTGGCTTTTACGTGACTGATTGTGGACTTGGACGATTTTGTTGTAGGTGTTTTCATAACAGGCTTTTAATTTTACAGTCCTAATTTCGGAAAARCAAAAGAATAACTGAAGGCAGTGATTTGCAAATCTCACAAGTGYGTATTTTATTCACAAAAGTAAATACAGCGATAGTTTAAACCACTTCTCGAACTCAACGCTCACAGGCCAAATGTCTGATCATTTTGTGTGTCCTGCATGACGTTCAAACATTTATAAATGTCRTAAAAWATGCTGCCTTATTGATCAAAAAATACATCTGCCATAATCAGAGCCGGCTCTTGGCATAGGCGAACTTGGCGGTCGCCTAGAGCGCCATCTGCTGGAGGGGGCGCCAAACTGCAGAAGAAAAAAGTAATTGTTTGGAATCCCTGGTTGTAACTCTGCTCAGCGCCCCTTTCAATTAGCTTTGTCTTAAAAAACTATAATGAAGTAAAGGAAAAAAATTGTATAGGTCCTCTGGACGGGTTCTTCTTTAATGAAACGTTTCGTCTCTCTTCCAAGAG